GAAACACAGGATGTCCTATTTGAGGGGTGGGGGAGTGTACTTTGGCAGATTTCTTAAACTCTTTACCCCTTTAAAAAAATTCAGACTGATAATGTTCCTTTCCCATGCAGGTGAGGGCATATTTCATTGCTAGACAGTTGTCTTTGTTTAACAGCAGTGCTTTGGTTACATTTTTTTCAAGTATGGAAGGTTAAATGTAAATGGTAAGTAACTTTTTATTTCCTTTAAGGGAATATGAAAGATTCAGAGTTGCAACTTCAAGGGCCAAAGGGTAGGAAAAGCTGTCAGCTAAAGTAAAATTGAACCGCCTAATTAGTGGGCACCATTCTGCATGCTAATTCATTCCATCCTAGCATGCCAGGTAGGGCAGTTCAGATGTTCTTAAAGCTCTGAATGTCTGACTTTTTGTACTCTCTCTCACATTCACTTCTGGACCTAACCTTGTCTCTTAGACTAGAGACTTCTCTGTCAGAGGGTTGATTTTAAGATGTGTGAGTCTCTACCCATGTTTTGCATACCAAAACTATGCCACTTTAGCCTGTAATCTCTGCATGAAGCCCATTACTGAGTGAACTAGTAGGCCCTCAACATGCTGAATAATTTATTAAAGAGTGAATTGTTAACAGCAAGTTTACCTCCTATTTGGACTGGACACATGTCAGTTCCCAGCCATTAGATCCTTACATCTAACCTTACTAGGTCAAATGCTTCTGCTGATGGAATACTATCAATTTGTGATCAAATTATCTCTTAATTTTTGCTCTAATAGCTAATCTTTAAACTCTTTAAATCTCACTCTGAGGCAGGTTTTCTAGTGTTCAAATCATTGTGGCTTTTTTCCAAACCTCTTTCAATTTTTTAACTTGCTTTTTGAAGTTTTAATGCCAAAACAGAACACTACTGCTGGTTTAAAACTAAACCAATTAAAACTTGTGAAAAATACCTAAATATGTTAACATTTATAAAGATTTGCTTCAAAAAGAGTATTAGGCACCCAAATACCTTTTAAGAGTCTAGCCCTGAATCAATATTCACTGTGATTTAAGATGCACTCGTTGCCATCTTTGTATGCTTCCAGAGCAGACCTAACGTTTGGCTGTAAGAACAGCAGTGTTGGGGATGTGTACATAGCAAAAAGAAACATATGCACCTGCTCAGCTATGTTTTGCGCTGAGCTGCGTGATGATCTTCAGGGTTATTCTTCCAATCAAAGATTATTTTTGGAGGGAGGAGGAGGGTTCAGCTTACAGTCTACAGACAAAATAAAGTCTGCTATAGTGATTTCTAAAACCAGTGGAATACTTTTAACATTAAAGACTTTGATTGGTCTCTGATCTATTCTGGAAAACAACTGCACCCCTGATAATTGGCAACAACATGGGATTTTCTCCCATTTTAACTTAGAACATTTTTATATGTCTTGCATGCAGCTTAATACTTTCCTTCTTGAAGCTGAAAGTGTTTAAGAACTATAGACATTCACTTGCATACAGCAGAGGGTTTATGCCTTGTTGTTTCAGGAGTTGATAAGATGCAGTCTGAAATAGAGCTCTCTTTGCCACAATATGGCCTGTGCCTAACTGTCTTCCATAAAAGTACAGCTGAAGGAAGCTACAGATTCTAGTTTTAAAAAGCATGAGCTTTAATGGGTGATCTGATGAAGCACACAGTCAGCTATGAAAGCTTTTGCATCACTGAAGATGCACTCTAAGATGCTGTACTGACCTTTCTTCTGCCAGGGATTTAAAGGCAGGGTTTCTCCCTGCTGTTAACTGACAGAATCTCCTTGGAAGCAGTCTCATTCTACCTTTTGTTCTTCTACTATTTTCAGTGGTTAAGATACTGCTTTTATACATTATCATCTATTATCTGGCAATGGGGGTAGGCAACCAAGAATGAAAACGCTGCAAAGTCAGCTGTTTTGAAAGGACAGATATGCTGTCCTTCCCCCCCCTCCCCCCCCAGTGCCCTGCGCTGGCCACGCCACCATGGCAAAGCACCCCCTGCCAACCTTGCAGCAGCAGGGGTAGCAGCGGCATGGAGTTGTACACCCTGTTGCTGCTGGGCAGGCAGGGGGATGCATGGCCAGTGCAGGGCTCCCAGGAGAGAGGCGGCAGGGAGCCCCGAGCCCTCAGTGGGCAGCCTGCACCCACCCCTGCTCTGCTTGGTTCTTCTCCAGTTGTGCCACTGGGGGTGAGGGGGAAGAAAGAGAGGGGAGCTAAAGGCGAGCATATGTTCCACCTTTGCAAAAGGTGGTCAGCTTAAAAACAAGGTGTGTGTTTTATTTGGGGACATGTCATCTGTAATATGATATAATACATAATGTAATATAAGGCCAGGAAGAAATTCTGCTGTGTGGCTCAGTGAGATGGACCCTGCCCCCATGGAAGGGAGGGGGCCCTGAGGTCTACCTTTAGTATTTAATAGTCATTGGATAAAATGGATAGATGTGAGTCATGGTTAATAGAAGGGGGAAAAGATTGCTAAAGCATGCATTAATTTAGTTATCATGAAGGTTTCTTAAAGCAAATACAAGGACTTGAGTCACCTGAGAACTGAAATGCTTTAAGTAAACTACAAACAGGAGATACTGAGGTGCCATTAATGTCTGAGACCCGTGTCGTGGCAGGAATTGCCTGGACAAAAGTAGCTCAGATGATCCCAGAAGGGGAACTTTGCCATCAACTGCAGGGAAAAGTTCAAAACCCCAAAGTTTCCTTCCCGAATCTGGCACTTCACAAGAAATCAAGTGTATAAGCAAGACAGACCAGACAAGCCTCCAAAAAAGGGCATCTTGGAGCACTGATCTATTCTGGCTAGTGCCCCACTTCCATCCAGGGAGAACCTGTAATGCTTCAGAGGAAGACAAAAACGCAAATCCACACACCAAGTGCATGTAGCGAGTTGTGCATTGGGGATAAAAATTATTTCATGACCTTGCAGATACATGGCTAAAGCTCCTGCCTCAGAATTTTGTCTCAATGCAAAGCCACAAGTGCTGAGAGAAAATTGAGGGCAGGCAATACTGTTCACCCCAGGATCCCTAAAGGAAGAGATAAGCAGGGGCTTTGGGCCATCACAACCATCCAGCTCATGCACATACATGTATCTGGGAGAGACTGTACAATAATTTTTCTTAAAAGCCTTCTAAGCTCATCTCAGAACTCCAAACAACAGTGAAGCTACCAACTTCTTGCTAAGTTCTATCTGATCCATCATTGCTATTTCTCTGTCCCTGTAAGATCTTGTGGATGTATGTTGAAGTTTAACCCTTTCACTGAAATAAGGAGAATGAAATAAATGTTTTGTATTATTATTTCCTCACATAGCTTTTACTTAGGTTATGGGATCTTTTACCTGAACGTCCAGCTCTATTCAATTCCCTGTTGCTTGCTAGTATCTTGCTAAGAATATAGATAAATCCATTACCTTGTGCTTGAAAGGTAAAAGAACCTAGTTTTTCCTGAACCTGGATTCAGCACTTGGGAATTACATACTTGTGTCCCCTTAGCAAGTGCTGGGCTGCAGAGAGCTCAGTCATGCTTGCAGAGGACATAAATCAATGCCGCCTTTTGGATCTTTATGGGTCTGAAGACAGCAGCCAGTCCTATAAAGAGGGTGTGTGGGAGAACAGTAGCTCAGGTCAAATGGGATCATAAAAAAATTAATGATTCCTAAGAGGTTAAAAAGAGCAGAAGGCAAAGATCAAAATGCTTGACATTGCTTAGTGTCTTTAGGAACAAGTAAAGCAAATGAGCTTTAAAAAAATGGCAAGGATGTAGTGAGAGCTGTATTTCATTCTCTGCTCAATGAGGATAAACATTAATCAATGCATGCCTGGAAAACCCAGATACTGTTTACAAAACTGGAGGGCTTAGTAGCTAATCAATTATGGAGTCAGGCAGAGAACTTGCATAGGGACAACAAAATATGAAGTCAGTCAACAACCTCAAGGTTAAACATGGGACCAGTGCATTGTTAGCAAGCACATGTTTTAGGGCAATTATATTTAAACTGGACCGAACGTTTCTTTTCTTTTGGACTGACAAGGAAAAGTCACAAACATCCATGACCTTGACTTGTATTCTGTGGCATGGGGGCCTTCAAGTTTTCAGCAAAGCTTCTGATTTTAGTATCTAACCAACACTATGCAGTTGGGAAGATGAACTGTACACCCAGCTCCAAACCTCCTGGCACAGACTGAGGCCACTTAAGATACAATGAGTCTGTTGATGGTGTCTTAAGTAGTAATCTGCCCACATGTTCAG